CCACGTCTGGTCTCACCGTCCCTCCCGTGCTCGTCCTGCCTCGCCTGTCTTGCGCTCCCATCCTATGTTGCTTCGTTCCCACGCGTCTCGTCCTCCCCTTCTGCCGTCGCCTCCTCCGTCCTCCCTTGTTGTTGCACCCCCCCCGCTGTCCGACTACCTTCGTGCCGCTAGTCCTCTCGTTCCTCGGGTCCTTGCCTCTCTCGTTACCGACCCGTCTGTTCCGGTCTCGTGCCTTGACGCTCTTGTCGCTGCTGTCGCTGACTTCGCCTCTACCCGCCGCCTTGACTACGCCACCGCTCTGGTCTCTGACCCTGCCTGTCCTCAGTCTGTCGGGGGTGCTCCTGCCCTTGGCAGTGACGTCCTGGAGGACCGCCAGTTCGAGCTTGCTTTCCTCTCCGAGGCTGCTCCCCATCTCTGTTCCATGCTGCTAGTCCCTAAGGGTGACCCACACGCTTTCGACATCCCGACCCCTCGCACTTACGCTGAGGCGACCTCGGGACCCTGGGCCTCGCAGTGGATAGCTGCCATGGAGCAGGAGATGGCATCTTGGAGATCCACCGGCACCTTCGTCGACGCAGTTCCCCCGCCTGGGGTGAACGTAGTCGATGGCCGCTGGCTCTTCACGGTGAAGCGCCCTCCTGGAGAGCCGCCTGTGTTCAAGGCGCGCTATGTGGCTAGAGGCTTCAGTCAGCGCGAGGGGGTGGACTTCTTCCAGACTTTCGCTCCGACCCCGAAGATGACTACTCTTCGGGTTCTGTTACACCTAGCTGCTCAGCGTGACTACGAGCTTCACTCCCTCGACTTCTCCACTGCCTTCCTTCAGGGCAGCCTACACGAGCAGGTCTACCTGCGCCGCCCTCCGGGCTTTACTGGCACCTTCCCTCCTGGGACCCAGTGGCTCCTGCGGCGCCCCGTCTACGACCTGCGCCAGGCTCCCCGTGAGTGGCACGACACTCTCCGTGCTACGCTTGCTGACCTGCAGTTCTTTCCGTCTTCCGCAGACCCTTCACTCTTCGTTCGTGCTGGCCACACTCCGTTCTACATCCTTGTTTACGTCGACGACCTGGTCTTTGCCACAGCAGACAGGGACGCACTGGCCTCCGTGAAGGCAGAGCTGCTGAAGAGACACACGTGCACTGACCTTGGAGAACTGCGCCGTTACCTTGGCTTGCAGATCTCCAGGGACAGAGCTGCGCGCACCAAGTGAACTGGAAACTCCAAAACCCGTTGACCGTGGTCGCGACGGGTTCTGTGGGAGAGAATATGTTGAGGTTTGGTAGTTGGCTCAGGAACGGGACTGGTCAACGGATAAATTCGTTGGCGGTCGAGATCAGACGTGTTCGCGACGAACTATCCTAGGAGGCAAATGTGGAAGGAATCGTGGATACGCAAGTCATCCGGTAACCGTAATTGTGCAGTGACAGGTGTCACCATCTGAATGATATGGAAGGGTCCACAAAATCTCAGACAAGGGATAGTGCCTGGCAAGAGACACGCAGCACGGGATGGCACTACTAGTCCAACCTCAGAGACAAGGGTCCGAAGTGTTGAAATGAGTTAGGAGCGAAGTAGCTAGCTAATCATGAGAACGATCGAGAGGTTTTAGCTAAAGCGGAAAGTGACGAGAGAAGAGGGGTGAACTAGGAACGAGAGAGAGGTACAAGAAGAGTATTGTACCTTCTATAGTAGGATCGAGTAATTTGTAGAAACACCTAACCTACCAAGCCTACACAACTATATAAAATAATATATGTAAGTTCACACACCCTCTGGGCTTGGTAGGCGCTAGCACACCACACACGCAACACCCCAAACTCTTGCACCCCCATGTCTTACAGCAGCTGTGGCGTCTGTCAAACATATTTGTATATGCCATATACTGTAGACTAGATAGGCGCGTACGAGTTTTTTTGCTCTCCATACTATGCACTTAGTTTTCATCCACTCGATTGGGCTCGTTTGAACCAGCTAGCAAGATTTCCAATTCATTCAAATGTAAACGCCATTACTGCAAGCTTATATATGGCTCACGTGTCGGGCCATTAGTTCCTCGGTAGTACTCTTTGTTTCGGTCCCTCATCGCTGCCCATTTGTATTGCATCTTCAAGCCTCACCCATCTTCATTCTACCCTTTCCGTTTCGCTCTTTGCCTCCCCCCCCCCCCCACCCCCCCCCCTCTCTCTCTCTCTCTCTCTCTCCCTCTCTCTCTCTCTCTCTCTCTCTCTCTCTCTCTCTCTCTCTCTTTCTCTCTCTCTTCCTCTCTCTCTCTCTCTCTCACTCTCTCTCTCACTCTCCTACACTCTTTCCTTCTTCCTCCCATTCTTCACCTCTGTTCGTCCTCTGCTCTTCGCCCCTCTTTCTTTCCTCTCTCCGTTCCCAATTCGTCTTCCCCACTTTGTTCCCCTCTTTTATTCCCCTCCCTTCTACCCCCCACCATTCTTCCCCCTCCTTTCAACGCCCTCTATTTCACCCCTTCGTTTTTCCTCCCTCTGTCTTCCCCCCTCCGTGCTTTCCTTTGGCTGATTTCCCGCTCTGACTTCCGCTCTCCTTTCTTCCCCCATCCATTCTTCTCCCGTCATTCTCCCCTTCCTTCTTTCCCCTGCCCTTCTTGCCATGTTTCCTCCATGGGTTCTTCCCCACTATGCATTCCCCCTCCCTTTCTTGCCTACTCTCTTCTTCCCCTGCATCTGTTCTTCCTGCCTTTGTATTTCTTCCTCCAATTTTCCTCCCTCCGTTTCCCATCAGTTTTCCCTCCCCCGTTCTCCCCCTCCGTCCTTCCCCCCTCTGTTCTCCCCCCCTTCTTTTCTTCTCCCCTCTATCATGCATCCGTTCTACCCCCTTCTGTCATCCCTGTCCATTCCCCCTCTGTTCTTCCTCCCTCTTTTTTTCCCCCTCAGACCTCCCCGCTCCCTTCTTCCGACCTCCATTGCCCCTCTTTGTCCTTCCTCCCTATGCTCTAATCTTTGTGATCATCTCCCCCCTGTCCTCTTTTCTCTATTCTTTATCCACCCCCCTTTGTATTACCTCCCCCCATCCTCTCCACTCACATTTCAGGGCGCCACATTCCAAGTCTTCGTCCTTCAAGTCGGCAACTTCCGAATCCCCATATTCCACGCTATTTTTATCTTGTTAGCTACATGAAATAATATATTTTTTATCTTTGCGTGCTCTTGGTTACTGAATATGTAATTTTTTGAAAGCGTGTAACACTTTCTAAAAAATGTGTATTGTGAAAGTGTAGCGAGGGCCAACGCAGCAAGGTCAGCGTCGAAGCGCTACTCACCCTCTTTTGCCTACAAAAGAGGGACGTGAGGCCATTCGACCTCACCCACGTTCTTCATTTCTAGTTCCAGTTTCGTTTTCCAGTTCTCGTCCTAGTTCTAGTCTTCTTATTCTCGTCCAAGCTGGCGAAAACCCAGTCTCTTCCGCGCTTCAAAGCTCCGACAACGCTCATCACTGACATTCTGCAGCACAATATTACCGCGATGACTTCCGCCAATTCTGCTCCGGCTCACGCGGTGAATAACATTTCTACCCCCGCTAACGCCCACGCGCTCGGAACTTCGCCCGGGGGAACCGACCGACGTCAGAAACGTCCTGCTGAGGACAATTTTGGCGAGGGCCCCTCGGCAGTCGAGATTCTGCTCGGCGGCAGTCACGCTGCTCCAGAAGAAATTCGCGCGGCTGCAAAGCAGCCGCGCGTGCAGGCAACGGAAGTCCACGCGCCAGCCCGAGGCGCGTCGCCTGCAGGCCAGGCGGGCCCCACCACCCAGCACGCGCCTGCCGCCGACCCCGCGCCAACCGCCGCCGCCCCCGCCTTGACTGCGCACCAGCTGCAAGCGCTTTTGGCGCTGTTACAGCAGCAAGCTCCTGCTGTTACAGTCAGAACCTCATCCGATAACGCTGCACCTACGACCAATTTTAACAAAAAGAAAGAAATGGCTACCCATCCTCGCACGCCCAAGGCTCCCCGCGCCGACGACCAGCCCCCGGCACCAACTCCCGCACCCGCTGACAACCCCGATGACAGCGACGACTCCGAAAATGACGATGGTGAGGGTCCCGCCAACATTGCTCGTCGTCGCATCCTCGCACCCGCCCCCCCCCTTCCCCCCCTTGGCCCTACGCCCGCAGCTACTACCTTCATGCGCAAGGGCGTACGCGACCAGGCCGAGGTCTTCACTGCCATCGAAGCGTACCTGAAGCATATCGACTTCAAGCTGCAGCACGGCGACGTCGTCGGCGCACTCAACAACGTAAAGGATATTGAAATACTTATTAATAAGCGTTTTCAAGTCCTTCTCGTTGCGGACGAAGCCGGTTTCGAGGCCGCCGACCGGTTCCAGCTCTATCAGTCCAAAAGTGTCCTGACATCCCGCTCCTACAAGCTGGCGGTCGCGGATGTGGCAGCGCTCAAGCGTGCACGCCTCGGCTATACGCGCGGCGGCCGTCCCGGTGGTCGCGACACGGACTCGGACATCAAGGGCTCACCCCCTGCTACGTGCCAGCAGCCGCGCTTCAAGGGAGTCTGCTTTCGCTGTGGCCAACCAGGCCACATGGCCAATGCATGCCACATGGGAGGGCGTGGTGCGCAAGGTCCCTCACCGGTGGTGTGAGCGGTTCATAGGGCGGCGCCCTTTCCCACATGCAAGATGCATAGTGGGTTGCACGGTAGGTGCATGGCCGGTGGCCAGCCTTTTGCCAAAGGCAAGGAGTCTTCGCTGACTAGGGTGGCCCTTGGGGACAGCAAAGGCTGATAGGCCTAGGCTTGTAATAATTCCTACGATTGAATTAAAGGCTCGACCGTGTCACGGCCATCCGTTTTTTTCCAAAAAAAAAAAAAAAAAAAAAAAACCCTTGAGGGGGTTGGGGGGAGGGAGGGGGCTACAAAACCCAGTCAACATGGCTGGTCAGCCTTGAGCATGGCCTCCGACCCCTCACTTTTTTCTTTGCCGACCACGCAACACGCCCCGAGAGCTAACCATGGAGGCACGCTCGGCACCCAACAAAATGGTGCGCACGCACGCACTCGGAGATGCACTATTTAAGAGCCAAGGACAGAGTCTAGGAGCTCAAGGCTAACACAAAGAGTGGCCCAAACAAGGAGAGCAAAAGAAGGAGGAGGAAGAAATGTAAGCCAACCACCAACGAGCACCAACGCGCTTAAAAAATGTTCACGTACGAACACAGCACGTGATGTCTTCGCACGATAAGGAAAGAGGGAAAGAGGGAGATCAAGAGATGGAGAGAGAGAGAAATAGCAAGTGAGAGAGAGAAAGAGAGAGAGAGAGGGAGAGAGAGAGAGAGAGAGAGAGAGAGAGAGAGAGAGAGAGAGAGAGAGAGAGAGGGAGAGAGAGAGAGAGAGAGAGAGAGAGAGAGAGAGAGAGAGAGAGAGAGAGAGAGAGAGAGAGAGGGGGAGAGAGAGAGAGAGAGAAAGAGGGAGGAGAGAGAGAGAGAGAGAGAGGGAAAGAGATAGAGAGAGAGAGAGAGAGAGAGAGAGAGAGAGAGAGAGAGAGAGAGAGAGAGAGAGAGAGAGAGAGAGAGAGCGACAGAGAAAGAGAAGGCGGATAGAGAGACGAGTACCCCTTGCACCTTGCAAGCACCTAACACGGCAGTGGCCGTGCGGTCCGAGCATGTCATGCCCCGTCTACACTTGCCCCGCATCGTGCACCTGCTCACGAGCACAGTATCTTACTCCCATCTATGAACCCATGTTTATAACCTCGTATAATGCAGAGATCCCAAGTGCGTGGCCACGAGAGGAATGCGATCCCTACGAGCTCGCAACTACAGACAGGGACGTGACCATCATGCGCAGTCGACTGCGGCATGCCTTGCACTGGTGGTGCTCCTGGTGTGACAGTAGCTTTATCCTCTCCGTCATCGCTAAAGGGTATTGGCTGCCATGGAAGAATACAGCCCCCACACCCTTCGAGGACAACAACCATGCCGGAGTCTGCACGCACCTCGACTTTACTCGCGTCACAATTCGCGATCTTGTAGTGACCGGCGCTGCTGCAGTGATCGAGAAGAGAGACACACTAACATGTGTCAGCCCACTGAACGTCGTGAAGCAACGCGACAAATGCCGCCTCATCCTTGACCTGCGGAAAGTGAACACCCACCTTGAAGCCCCCAAGTTCAAGTACGAGGGTCTGAATCGTGTAGCCGAGCTCATCCGCCGAGATGACTGGATGTTTTCCATCGACCTGAAATCTGGATACCATCATGTCGAGATTCACCCTTCGTGTTGGCAGTTTTTGGGCTTCCAGTTCGAAGGCATCTACTACTCCTTTCGGTCACTGCCGTTTGGCCTTGCAACTGCTCCATTCGTTTTCACCCAACTAATTAAACAACTTGCCAAGCGATGGCGGGCAAGCGGCGTTCGAGTGGTCCCGTATGTTGACGACCTATTATTTCTCTGCGATTCCCACCAGCAAGCGTGCTCGACTCGTACGACAGTCCTTCAGGACCTTAACGCAGCTGGCTCCGTCATTAACGGCAAAAAATCGCACCTCCACCCCTCGCGTCAGCTTCGCTTCCTCGGATTGGAAATCGACTCCACCCGCGGCACGTTCTCCGTCGGACTCGAGCGAAGGGCTCAACTCTTAACCACGCTTGAGGCCTTGATAACCCAAGGTCAAGCAGGAAGGCATATTCCCGTTCGATCCCTCGCAAGAGTTACAGGCATGCTCGCCTCTATGGCCCTAGCACTGGGCGCGACGGCACGAGCATTCAGCCACGAACTCCTGCGACTTATTGCCGACGCAACGTCCTGGCACTCCAAGGTCCTCCTGCACCCGGCAGCAGTGGACGAGCTATGTTTCTGGCTGGCGCAATTCGACAAATTTAACGGCGCCCCATTTCATCTCAGTCACCAGTTCGACGCCGTCATCCACGTGGATGCAAGCGCCCACAGTTGGGGCACCATCCTCACGCCGCTCCCTGGGATCCCAATAGAAGCAAGCTCCCGCATGCCAGAAGACCTCCTACACACTTCCAGCACCCGAAGGGAACTCGAAGGTGTACTGTGGGCACTAAGAAGCTTCGACACCCACATCTCCAAACGGCACGTGTTAGTTCGTGTGGACAACCAGGGGGTTGTATTCATACTGCGCAAAGGCGGCTCCAGCATCCCTGCACTCACACTACTTTGCCAGGCGATCATCGACCTTTGCTTAAAAAACCGGACACGCCTTGCCATCGAATGGATTCCCCGGGAGCTGAACGCGCACGCCGACGAACTCTCCAAAGTCCAGGACCGAGATGATTACTCACTCAAATCCCCATGGTTCCGACTCCTCGACCGCCGCCTGGGGCCTCACTCTGTCGACCTATTCGCGAATGTTCACAACGCTCAACTGGGGCGCTTCTGCTCCAAGATTCCTCACCCCAAGGCCACAGCAGTTGACGCCTTCTCGTTCAGCTGGCATGATGAACGCGGCTTCGCGTTTCCCCCCCCCACCTCATCCCGGCTACTCTGCGCCACGCCCAACGCACCCACGCCGAGTTGACGTTGGTCATTCCCGAGTGGCCAGGAGCCTCTTGGTGGCCCCTACTGCAGCCAGCACCACGAACCTGGGCACGAGAAGTAAAGGCACATATTCCCCTCACTCAAGGCAGCCAATGCCTATCCCCAGGCACACACTCACTCGCCTTTGCTGGTCTCGGTTTTCCTAATTGCCCGATCATTGCGTTGCATGTGACATATAAAATATAACCCCACCATGCCTGGGCTCTCTGTATTTCAGGCTTATTATCAAAACTACAGACACAGCTACTTCGGGTAATCAGTCATGTCCGCGCGCCATCCACCATAAGGACCTACGAGCCGTATTGGCTCAAGTTCCGCTCCTTTTGCACGAAGGTCAAGCTGAGCTACCTGCCTGCCACAGACACTACTCTAGTGCTCTACCTTGTCTATGCCCTCAACAATCAGGCCACAGTATCCGCCATATCCCTTACGTGCTCCGCCGTCGCATTTGCACATCGGATGACCGGAGAACCCTCTCCCACTAGCGGGCCTTTCACTTCACAAGTTCGTGAATTCTCCAAACGCCACGGCCCGTGCACCACCAGGACGAAGGAACCCTTGTCGCTCCACCAGGTGCACGCCATGGCACACCCCTTCCTTGAGTCGAGCAGCCCGGCAGAATATCAGAAAGGACTGATCCCACTCCTCATGTTCGCGGCATTCCTCCGCTACTCCGACCTCGTCTCCATCCAGTGGAATGACATCCACTTCGACGAGGAGTCTATGTGGATCCTAATCCCGCACTCCAAGACGGATCAAGACGGCAAGGGCTCATGGATCCCAGTTGCTCCCACAACTGGGCCTTACTGCCCAGTCCGTTGCACCCAGCGGTTTCTGCAACTCGCGGGACACCCCACCACCCCACATGGACCACTGATCCGTGTCTTTGGCACCAGCGGCAGGGCAACCCCTCACGACAGCGCTCCGTCATACACAACCATCCGCAACTGGTGCCTCGAAGCCTTCGCCAAGGCTGGGCTTGACAACAGACACCTCGGCACTCACTCCTTCCGCAAGGGCGCCGCAACTGCGGCAGCTAACTTGGGGATCCCTGACCGGCTCTTCAAGCGACTCGGTCGCTGGCGTAGCGATACGGCCAAAGATCTCTACGTCACCATTGCGCAGGACCAGCTCCTTGCGGCATCCACACGCATCCAAGATGCGTCCGCCGCTCCATCGCCCAGACATCACCAGCTCTCCATCGAGCGACACCGCCAGCCCCTGCTTCACATGCCTCAGAAGACCCATATGAAATGAAGCACGCTGCCTTTGCCAAGGTGACCCAAGCAAGCTTTCACAATATGTAATTTTTTGAAAGCGTGTAACACTTTCTAAAAAATGTGTATTGTGAAAGTGTAGCGAGGGCCAACGCAGCAAGGTCAGCGTCGAAGCGCTACTCACCCTCTTTTGCCTACAAAAGAGGGACGTGAGGCCATTCGACCTCACCCACGTTCTTCATTTCTAGTTCCAGTTTCGTTTTCCCCACCCACCCACCCTATTGGACGGTGTAGTCTATTGGACGAGAACCATGTACTGTAGCCCATATGAAATGAAGCACGCTGCCCCATATGAAATGAAGCACGCTGCCTTTGCCAAGGTGACCCAAGCAAGCTTTCACAATATGTTTGTTCATAACTGTTTCGTTCCTCCTTCTTGTGTGTGTATGAGAGTGCGTATTTGTATGTGTGTGTATTGTACCTGTCATACGTGGTGTGGTGTGGTGGTGTTTGCACATTTTGTGTTGTGCATGCAATGAGTCGATGTCTAATATGTAACATGCGTAATACAGTTTGCGATTGTCGTTGCCGGTTTGGGAACTTACTTCCCATAACAAGCATGTCAATCTCTATTGTAGCACAATTACATTTCCGCATTGCTCGTTGTATTCACTTTTGTTATATCATGTGACTTGTTTACTGTACCGTGTCTTGCACATTGTTACGTTGTGTTGCATTTGCAACGACCGGTGCTAAAATATCAGAATAACACAATGACTATAATAGTGGGTACAGGTAGGTTTTGTGCTAGTGTGTTGTACTCTCTAAGAGCATGCACCTAGCTACCCTATACTAACATATGCATATACGTTTGACACACCCCCTAGGGTAGATAAGGGGCGGTGCCTGCCAAGAGATACGCAACTCAGGGTGGCACTACTAGTCCAACCTCTGAGACAAGGGTCAGAAGACCAGTCAGAAGAGTACAAACTAGGCAAGAGCGAACCAGGGCGACACCACTAGTCCGGCCACTAGAAGAGAATTCACAAGGCTAGTCACGAGAATATATAAAAATAGTAGTACACAATTCCTAGCAAGTGAGGAGCTACAGGTACTAGACCAAGCTATACATAGTGCCGTTGGTGATCTTTAGGCGCAAGCGCCCTGGTAAAGATATCAACTGTGTTGGCACCGAAGGCCAAGCGTACTACGTGGGCCTGGCATCGCTGCTGTAGCTCGCGCAGGAAGGAGTACCGCAGCTGGATGTGCTTCGCTCTGCCCTCCAGTCGAGGCTCCTGACACAGGAGGATCATGGCCCTGTTGTCAGCGTACAGGACCGAGGCGGAGCTAGGCCGCTCACCTAAGTCTGTAACCAAGAAATTCAACCAGCAGAGCTCCTTTGCCACCATGGCACCAGCGTAGATCTCAGCCTCACAGTTAGATTGGGCAACTGACGAAGAGCGCGTGGACCTCAAAGATATGGCACCTACACCAATGCTAAAGCAGTAGCCGTGAGTCGACCTAAGCGTCTCAGCGTCGTCGGCCCACGAAGTGTCTGTGTGCCTTGTAAGGACCACTGGCCTGCGTCCTCCTAGAACTAGCCCCATGCCCGATGTACTTGCTAGATAACGCAAAACTCTCTTAGCAGCTGACCTGTACTGTGGTCTGTGTCAGGATGCTGAGAGGGGTATGCGAGATCTGGACGAGTGCAAGTCATCAGGTACATGAGGCAACCCACCAGCTCTGCGTAAGGACCATTAGGCTCTACCGACTCCTCAGTGACTGGAGCCGAGAGCGTGTGATCTACTAGCAGAGGTGTGGGCTGTGCGGAGGAGAACTGAAGACCGAACCTCTAAAGGACCTGGCGCACCAAGTGTGACTGTGTGAGAGTGATGGTGTGTGCTACTCTATCCCTGGAGATCTGCATGCCAAGGAAGCAATGCAGATCTCCTAGGTCAGTGCAGGTGTTTCTCCTCAGCAGCTCAGCCTTCATGGAGGCCGGTGCGTTTCTGTGTGCAGTATCGAAACTAGGTCGTCTACATAAACGAGGATGTAGAACAGGGTCTGGCCCGAACGAACGAAGAGGGAGGGGTCTGCAGAGGATGGGAAGAAATGCAAGTCAGCTAACGTAGCATGTAGCGTGTCATGCCACTCACGGGGCGCCTGTCGTAGGCCGTACACCGGGCGCCAAAGAAGCCACTCAGTACAAGGGGTGAAGCTGTCTGTGAAGCCTAGCGGATGGTGGAGGTAGACCTGCTCGTGCTGAATGCTCCAGAGAAATGCTGTAGAGAAGTCGAGGGAGTGAAGCTTGTCGTCACGCTGTGCTACTACATGTAGCAGCGCGTGAAGAGTGGTCATCTTCCGGGTCGGGTCGAAGGTCTGAAAGAAGTCCACGCCCTCGCGCTGACTGAAGCCTCTAGCGTTGTAGCGCGCCTTGAACACCGGCGGCTCTCCAGGAGGGCGCTTCACCTTGAAGAGCCACCGGCCATCGACTACCCTAAACCCTGAGAACATTGAAATGAGGAGACCGGACGAGCACGAGAGGGACGGCAAGACCAGATGTGTGAGGGAGGCGTTGGGTCAAGAGACACAGGAGGAGACACAAGAGGAGACACAGGAGGAGCACGAGGGGGGAAACGAGCCGGGGACGAGTCCGGCGGAGGAAACACAGGGCCGTAGACAACCGAGGGCGGCGGTGGCAGGGGAGGAATAGGCGGGCGGTCAGGGGAGGGAAGATGTAGGAGGCGAAGGGCACATACTAGCGGCGACTGCTGCTGGTGCTCCACGCCGACGCTAGAACCTCCAGCTCCACCATGGCTATCTCCGGGACGCCCCACGACAGCACCCCCCGAACGAGAACCCTCTCCAGCACTGGTGCCACCCCTAGGACCACCGGAACAAGCCACAACAGTACCCCCAGGACTAGCACCCCCAAAACCAGCACCCCCAGAACGAGAACCCTCTCCAACGCTGGTGCCACCCCCAAGACTGCCGGGACAAGCCATGACAGTAACCTCAGGACGAGCACCCTCCTCAACGCCTGCACCCCCAGAGGCGCGCGGACCCCTGTGGCTGCTGCGGCTGCGGCGGCGGCGGCGGTGACTGCGGCTGCGGCGGCGGTGACTGCGGCTGCTGTTTCAGCTGTGACGGCGGTGACAGCGCCTGCTGTGACGGTGGCGGCTGTTGCGACGGCGGAGGAGGAGACACCAGGGTGGAGACAGGTGGAGAAACCGGGGCCGCAGGGCCCCTAGAGTCAGCCGACTCCTCTACTAGGACAATCGATGGGAGGGGAGTGACGTGAGACACACAAGACAGGGCAAGATGGGGAGGGGGAGGAGCAGGGGCTACCGGGGGAGTGGGAATTAGAAACAGGGGCGGGGTAACCGGGAGACCTCGGTGGGGAAATTGGTACAAATTCCCTATTTTGTTTTCAAATTAAACATTTTGGAGCGGATTACTGTGTAACTTTGTCGATGGAAATTGCACCTCGTCTCCTGACACCCAAGATGTGAGATTTGTATACTGCAAATCCCACATGCTCGCGAGTACCCCGCTAATGTTTTACCCCTCCGTCCACACATTCCCCCGCCTTGCAAAATTCATTCCCCCTTCCGCGGGGATGTTGAATGTTTATGCAAACTCGCCCCACAAATTTCGTTTGCGCCTACGTCAGAATCGTATTCCCCCCCTCCCCCCTCCCCTGCCCCCCTGCCCCCCCTCCTCTGCTTCTCCAAATCTCTACAACCTTCCAGCGCAAGACATTTTGTCCGAGTGTGCCACAAAATCGACGATGCTTCGAACCAATGGTCATCTCTCGTAGTAAGCCAAATGGTCGCCAATCTCGCGACCCAATCAGCGTGACAGTAGCCCAATTGTCACTATTCTTTTTTTCACATTCCCGGGAATGTGTATCATGGCTTCAAGCTGGTGAGCGGCATAGCGCATGGCGAATGGCCACAGAAAATGGGGTGCATCGGCATGGATCATGGAGGTACGAGCCACCTCCATGACCAAACCGATGCGTCGCTCAGCGACCCCATTCCACTGCAGGGAGTCCAGAAGGGTGTACGACTGGGTGATGCCCTCTGCACGACAGAACCGTCCAAGCCGATCAGAGGCGAACTCGCCGCCACTGTCGGAATGAAGACGCAGCAAAGGGAGACCGTGGTGGACGCGCGCAGCTACGACCCACGGGATAAGAACGTCAGGCACGTCGGCCTTCCGCTCCAGGGGGAACACCGTGGTGTAGCGCATGTACTCGTCAACAAGCACTAGAAAGTAGCGGTCTTGACGCAGCCCAGGGACGGGGGCTGATTCTGGAGTGGCGAAGTGGTTGGAGGAAGCGAGGAGGTGTGAGAAGCACGGCACAGTCGGCCCTTGATGCAGGGGAGGGAGGGAGGCCAGGGAGCGACGTAGGGAGACCTAAGACAAGTCTGTGCTGGGACATGTGACGCAGAAGCAACGGGTGAGTGAGCGGTTGACACGAGCAAGCCGCAATGACCTGAGCAGGTGCAGCCACCTTGGGAGACGCCCCCACTTGGGGGGACGCAGTGTCAAGCGTAAACAAGCCAGACACCAGGTCCCGGGGGAACGTGGTGAGAGGGGCACCAGTGGCGGCCTCGGTACAGACGCCGTATACCGCTCGTGTCTAGGGAACATAATGGTGACGCCGACGTCCTAAAGACAGCCAATACCAACTAGGTTCCTGGAGAACGCAGGGATGTGCAGGCCCGTAAGAGAGCCCGAGGGAACCACTGGACAGGGAAGGGTGGTGGAGCTATGTGCAACTACCGGACCGGAGGAGGGTGAGCAAGCGCGATAGCTGCAGGGCGGCAAGCGGCGTGAGTGCGGTGTGGTCACGAAAGAAGCAGGCGGACGTACAAGAGTCTAGCGTGAAAGAGAGAGCGGCGGTAGCATTAGCCGGCAGAGGGGCAAGGGTGGAGCCTAGGCTAAACAAAGCAGGAGGTCCTACACGTGACGCAGCAGAGGAGTCTAGACTACACACAGGGGGCACACCTACACTAGGCAACACAGGGTAATAAGTTCTAGTCACACTAGA